GAGCTCACGCCCTGACATGAAACTTACGAGTTTCCAAATTTCTGACCGAAAACCAGAATTCCTCCAACTGAGACAAACTGACACCTGATTAATTGTTGGCCCGCCATAAAATTATAAAACCAAAAATTGCAAGTGGAGAGCTGATTATTTGCACTGATTGGAACTGGCCTCATTGTGGTTAAGCAAACAGTGTGAATAATTGGTCATCACGCAAAATACAAGTTGGCTACAGGGGTAACCCAAATATTCTTTCATCGGGAGATATATTGTCATTGTAGTATCACACTGTGCTGCCTCTCTCCCTCTCCGACGCTTTCTTTCATTCTCACTCTCTCTCACTCTGAGTCTTTTTCTCTCTGAAGTTTCCACCTCACTCTTTCTCTAACTTTCTCACTCTATCTTTGACTTTCTCTTTCGTTATCTCATTCTCTGACTCTTTCCAGTCGCTAAATTATTCACTTATGTTTGCACTGCCATTTCGCAGCAGGGCAGCGTGGGGTAAATTGTGAACCTCGTAACCTCGTAAGTACACACGTCCAATTATATAGTTGACTTCCATATCGGTACAGATAAGTGGATGCGTGGCATTGTACTGCAATATAGAGAGAGAGATGAACTGTGACTCGATTTGAGCATTGTGTATAGACCACATCTCACCAGTAAGTGCTAACAGCAACATCAAATTACATTTGTGTAGCGCGTCTAACGCTAGGAGGACGTCCCAAGGTGCTGGACAGTCAGGGATCCGCACCCAAGCTGGTGGTTGGGATAAGGAGGGGTGGAAGGCGGGGGGAAGAGGGTGACTGAAGGCACGGTCGAAGAGGAGGGTCTTGAGACGGGTCTTGAAGGAGGCAAGGGAGGGGGCGAGGCGGAGGGACTGTAGGATGGAGTTTTGGAGGGGAAGAGAGGCTGAAGGCCAGCCAATGGTGACTTCAGAGTGGTCAGGAAGCTGCATGATAAATGTAAGGGCCTGAAGTGAGGTAGAAAGCAGTGTGATCTGGAACACTGAGCGAGGCATTTAGAATTGGCACTAAAGCAATGATAGACTGGAGCCTCACATGTGGACAATCCACATGCAGTCTACACCTACACACGTGAAGGTATGCCACTGAAATACATACCAGCCACACTATGGCTGGGCAGCAATCCAGATTTTTACTAAATACAATGGGCCAGTGAAAGGTTAAGCAACACCCACAGCCAAGCTGTCAAGGCTACATTGCAGATAAAACGGTCGGTCATCAGGGAATTGTTGGTCTCTGGCACTACTCTGCTTTAACCCTTTTCCTGGCCCAAAGGCGTCTTTTGAACAGTTGACGGCAGCAGCTTGAACAGTGTCCGAGACATCCTGGGTTGATGATAAACGTTAGGCAAAGGTCCAGGCCAGGGAGGGGAAGTGCAAACTCCTTCAGTTAAGTGCGAGTGGAATGTTGACCTGCTTTTCCTGCAATTCCGAGCACAAATGCCTTTTCTTTACAACTTGGAGTGGACCAGAGGCGCACAATATCACCTCATCATTGCCTCTAAGACCATTTTGTCGTCAAAACAAAAGATTGCGCAGAATTGTGGAACGTTCCCAAATTCAGTCTTCCATCTTGAGGCTGGTTTTCCGCAGTTCTCAAGAGGAACCGGATTCCAAATTAAGAGTAGAGTTAAGAATTTTCCAGGGTTCTGCACAGTCTTACGTTTTGTTTTGGGCCAATAGGTTCAGGCCAGATGGAATTACTGGCCACTGGAGTCTCAAGGAACCCAATTTTCATTGGCCAGTGTGAGCTTGCTGAATTTGCAGTACAAAATTGGTCCGGGAATGAACTGAACCCATCTCCAGCATGGAGAGGGGAGTGAGTGAGGATGCCTTGGTGTGCCCCAAGTGAGGGCAAACAAAACAGAGCGTGATCAGCCGCAAGTCAGTCGGGTCGGGCATTTGAGGCACTGGGACTCATTAGAGGCTCAAGCAACTGTCAGTGGGGGAAAACGAACGGTCTTGCACTGAACAATTACTGGTCTGCTGGAAGCATCCTCGGCTAAACAAGGTTAAAGATGATCGAAGAGCAGAGTATTATATGTGGGGAAGGGTATTGGGAGGAGAAGGGGGAAGGAAGGGGTTGATATTTCATCATCCCCATGTTACAAAGCACGCAAAGTCGATGATGATTACTGATCTGTTTAGCCCCAACAAAGTCATCAGCAATGGATGGGTCTTCACGAAGCAATAATCTGGTGGGGCCCCTCATTCACTGCAACTCGCAAGTTGAAGCGATGAAAGAAATTGTATTTTTCTTTAAATGATCGAGTCTTACTCAGTTTTAAATCGTTTTCTTTTTGCTGAAAGGAATATTTGGAACAAGTACTGCGGGTTAATGCCCTTGGAATGCCTGTATCCTTGAGATGCCATGGGAAACATTCTCCCTCTGTTATGTAGCAACTATACAAAAAAAATTGTACTTTTCTCTCAAATACGCCTGCAAGATACGTAGTCAACGCACTTTGCAATAAATCTTGTGATAAGCTTTGAGGCGCCCTGCTGACATAAACGCTGTTATATCAAATGCAATAATTATCATTATTATTTATTGCTAAATAAACTTTAAATCCCCCCCCCCCATTGCTCTATTCTGAGGTTGAGGCTAAGAGCGGAAAAGTTTGCATTTCCATGTCCAGCATTGAAAACGGCTATAAGACAGTAGTCCCAATCGTGGGTCCCAGGTCTTGAGACTTAAAACGTTTTCTTTCAACTCATTTGGAATCTTTTCTCCCAGAAATCCTGGTGGGGAAGCCCCTTTCTGTAAGCCTTCATCCGAACGAGCGTTCCTTTAAACGTGACAAAAACCAAAAGCGGTAAAGCACGGTGCCAACCACGGCGCACAATAAAGTCTACTTGACGATTCGTTCAATTTACTGTCGAACTCCTTTTCATCCCAGGGCTGGCTGGAGGAGCCTGGTACATTGAACACTCCAAAAGTCAGCCTCCTCCCCGCATACGCATATTCGCTCTGTTGATAGGACGCCACATACTTGCATTTCATTCACCCCCGCGCCCCCCACCCCACTCTCCACCCTCCCCGCCTCAACCACTCACCACTGCACACATACGTGTTGATCTTTATGATAGGTCATTGTTTACCGCTAACGGGGCACAGGGCCCCCACACTACATAGCCGCCCTATGATCTTTCTCTGCTTCATTGCTGGCCAATTTACATCCAGCCTGTTCTATCCTCATTGCTTTGCTGGGACCCGGCATTGAGCCAGGCTCGCACTCTGTTGAAGAATTGAAACGTCTCTTTTATTTTCCCCTCTCCTGCGCTGCGATACTTTGTTAGCAGGAAATGGGTTCTCGACTGAAGAGCATAGTTGACCTGTTCGAGTTCCTTGCTGTTCCTTCCGGTTACAGCACAATAAAAGTTTTGTGTTTTGAATTGTCCTTGACACTCTTTTATCCTACAATGGGTGGACATACTGTGCTGGAAAACATGACATCATTATCACTGACAGACCCTCAAATAAATCACCTGCAAGTGTGTGTGTGTACTTCTTTTGCTTGTTCAGTCCTTCTCGTCTGCTGGTCCTTCTGTAAAATTTCATCCAAGCGTGAGAGACAATAACAGCCTTCAATTGTTTTATAAATTGGACCAAAGTCCACCACATTCCCCCCACTCCCCCCTTAAGCAGACCACATCTCTTTGATTGCAGAAAATCACAGCAACAAAGTGTATTCTTTTCATCGAAACCCTCTTCCCCCAACTTCCTCACCATAAAAAAGTATAATTGATCGTTTTGTTACGGTGTTTCAGTCTATGAAGTCTGTGAGGAATAAAAACTTTATATTGTAACGAATAGTTTGGGATTCCCCCAGACAAAGAGGTCTTTCTATTATTGGCAGTGTTGTTGTTCAGTGCACCACATTTATTATTTTCAACTTGAACATGAAGGTTATACGAAAGAAAAGGTTATATGCTTCTATTTTCTTTATTCTCTTTCACTCTTATCTCACACACTCGCTCTCAACCAGCTATCTCCCTGGTGATGAACCCAAAAAGCCATGGTTCCCTTCAGTCCATCGGCACGATTTTCTGTTTTGAATCTCTTGTTTACTTGTTTACGCAAGGCCTCTCGCTTGTTGGGAGTTTTTTTTAAAGCGAAAGGTGCCATTCAGTCTACGCAAGGGTGGCAGCAAAGGTTAACGAGAGAGAGAGAGATCTGTAAACACTTCCTATTTACGAAGTTTGGGAAGCCAACAAGATAGTGCACGGCTTCATAGCTTCACCCTTTACCTAAAAATGGCATTGAGGAAGGAAGTGAGGCAGAGATCTTGAGAATTACTGGTATTATGCAAAAATGATGTACTTTCCCTCCCCCTCCCTTCCACACACACTCTCTCCCTCCCATGCACACTCACACTCCCTCCCATGCACACTCACACTCCCTCCCATGCACACTCACACTCCCTCCCATGCACACTCACACTCCCTCCCTTGCACACACACATTCCCTCCCATGCACACACACACACACTCACTCCCTCCCATGAACACACACACACCCTCCCTCTTCAGCTGGGTTGAATGCCCTCAGATGCAAAAACATACAATGCTTGTGACTCTCTTCTATTCAAAGTCACATGAGATGAACGATAGCTCAGCACAATACTGCGGCTATATTTATAACGTGTCTCTCCTTCTCAGAAATACCTTCGCTCAGTTTCGTGTTGAGACCAAGGGTGTATTGCAAAAGGCCCAACTCTTGCTGACACCTCACTGAAGCACTGACATATTCTTTTCTTTGTTGCCCTCCTCTTTCTACCGCCCCAAACCCTCCCAGTTGTTCTTACCTCCCTTAATGATAATAATAATTCTTGCATTTGATACAGCGCCTGAAACAATCCTTCCTGACGTTTACCTTAAAAGAATTCCTTGTTTTTTCCCTGCAGCCAACAGGGTGCAAAATCATAACACCATAAATACTGAGCCTTCTTCATGTTCCCCTCCTCTTTCTTTGCAGATGAAATGAAGGAAGACTATGACACTATGGCGCCTGAAGCCACACTTCAGCCTGGTGGGGGTAACGCAACAGGTGAGGGTAACATCAGACGCTTCTCAAGTACACTCAGCTAAAGGTGCTTCACCAAATGAATATGGTTTCTATACTGAAGCCCAGCTTTATACCCCAACACTGGAGCTGAAAGGCATATGTTATCTGAGAATGATTGGTTGCCATGTTTCGCCCACAAAAATACACAATCAATCCACTTTACAATATATTCTGTGAAACGCTTTGAAACGTCTCAACGACGTGAGAAGGTGCTATATTAAGTGCAAGGATTATTATTATGATGGTAATGAATAAAATGTTCTGCTATGACTGAGACAATGATCAGAAACTTTGATCAGGTTTACCACGGACTAAAAGTACAAACCTTGAGCATTTCCCATCAAACCAACTCCTATTCTTGGTTATTTTTTAGCCTCTCTCTCTTTCACTCACTCACTCTCTCTCTCAATTCTTAGCTAAGTGAGAATGGGTTAGTTCCTTGTGTGTGGCGTGAAAGAGGCAGATGTACGAATGTTTGTGTGTCTCAACTCTTTCGCAGTCCAAATTGGTTTATCCTTCATGTAAACACCATTAAATTGAGGGAGAAAGCAAGAGAGTTACGGAGCCGAGGTTTGTTTTAACCTCAGCCTGGGCTGTTCAGAACTCTCCGAGCCGAGACCCGCGCCTGGTGATTGTAGACAGGGCTGACAACAGCACCTGCAGAAAGAAGCACACTTGTGGGCATTCCGAGAATCTTCCCTCCTGAGTCGAACCTTCCGTCAGAGCCCCGACCACAGCTGTATACAGTACATTTAAAGCACCTCTTTGTGCAGGTGGCAGCAGAAGGGGCTGGTTTCTCTCTCTCTCTCGCTCAACTCTATTTGTTTGTGTGTGTAACGCTGCATCGAGGTGTTTTCCAGAATGCAAATCAAAGCTCCAGCGCAGAACCACAGAAACGTATGTTCCAGCCTATGTTTAAAGTCAGGAGGGAACTTTACAAGTACCTCGGGTCACTTGATGACATATTTTGCTAATCTTGTAAAAACTGGTCACAGGTTTTAAAATAAACAGAAGCAACCAGCTAAGCTGTCTTAGATTTTGCAAGAACATCAAAGTCACGTATTCTTTGTTTCGGGGGGGGGGTTGGGGGGGAGGGAATCTATTTACACCAGGCTTTCTGTCTCTCATTTGTCTGCCTCCCCACCCCAGCCTCCATAAAATGGTACATTTCCTCATATCTTCAGTGAAATCACGTTCTCTTTCTACCACGTAAATAAAATCGTTTATGTTGCACCGGTCGTTTTTATTTTTAAATGAATTATTTGCTTTGAGTTTTTGTCATTTTTTTTAGGCTTTTCCCTGACACATCAGGTAGTTAAGAGTTAATCTTTCTGAAAATGGTGATTTTTGTTCAAAGGGTGAAATTTGTTGGAAGTATTTTTTTTCTTTGCAATGGTTGATTTGGTTGCAAGTTGAACAGCACAACCTTTTTTTCCCCCCAATGGATAGCACAGGGACTCCTAATGTAGGAATGAGATATAAAGCCCAGAAAGACATAGGTTTGATCCTTGCCCTGAGTCAGTGCTGAGTTGGCTAATTTCAACTGGAGCCAGTGGAGACAGAAAAGTCATCCAAAGATTCCTGTTCTGGTTTGCAATCTATCTTTTATTTTGGGGGCAGGTGGTGGTGGGGTGTGTGGTAGATAGAAATAATGGGGGCTTTAGGAAGGCAGAGTTGTTAATGAGAGGGGCAAACTGCATAGCTGTGTATCATTTCTTATGAGAATGTCACTGAGGGCAGTGAATTCTCCCTTTCAGCTCCTGCTCCTGGAATGGGCGAGAGAGTGCCCATTCCATTCCAACAATCTTATCTCTGGGATTTCCACGTGTACGGGGGAGATGCGTGGAATTCTCAGTTTGGTTTGGATACCCTTCCAAGCATGGTGATGGGTTTCGGCGTGTGTCAGACACCCAGCTGACCAAAAAGAAAATGAATGAGAATATCAGTTCAACCTCATTGAGGTCATGGTCTAGTTGTGTTCTGAACCGTTTTCAGGCGTGATTCATCTGTTGATCAGGGGCTGAAATTCTAGTCAGACTTCCGCGAAGTGACTTCTACGATGGGTGTTTACGATGCACTTCTACGATGGTTTTCATTCAGAACCCAAGATCTTCCAATTTTGCTTCGCGTTACGGAGATTCAGCTCCTCAATACGGTGGAGCATATTAGAAGCAGCAGTAACTGAGAACTACTTCTGCCTTTGCAAAACACCACGGAGCATAAAATGCAGCAATCACATCAAAATGCCAGTGTTGTGCAATCACTTCTCTTGCGAGTACGGTTATGGGGAAGGAAAGTGGTCGGCTGTGTTGACCGAGAACAGAAAATGCTGATGGGCACCTTGAGGACACAGTTACTGGTAGCCCCGAATGTTGAGCAACCTTAGACACACTTCCCTTATACCCTCTGAAACTTTGTCAACATGGGGAATCTTCATTTGTGAGGAAAGTTGATATGAGACCACTGTTTGGAACTCTCCTCCCCCAAAAGGCTGTGGATGCTGGATCCATTCAAATTTTCAAGACTGTGATGGACAGATTTTTGTTAGGTAATAATAATAATCCTTGCATTTAATATAGCGCCTTATAGGAGTCCTGTAGCTCAGTGGTTAGAGCACTCGCTTTGCAAGCGAGAGACCTGGGTTCGATTCCTGGCAGGGTGAAACCTTGGGCAAGTTTACTTGCTCCACACGCCTGATAATAATCCCTCAAAAAAAACAATAATAAATTGATCATTTCAATCCACAACTGTTTGTGCGACAATTGGCTGCTGCATTTCGCCCACAAATATACAGTCAATTCACTTTACAGTCTATTCTGTGAAACGCTTTGAGACGTCTGGAAGACGTGAAAAGCGCTATATCAAATGCAAGGATTATTATATTTATTATATTATTATTTTGTGGGTGAAATGTCTTCCCAATGTGAAAGGCACTATATATAAATGTAAGTTGTATTGTGTAAGCAGAGTATGAGCTTAATAGATTACTTTTCTACAAAAATAACAAAAAAAATCCTTACATCTGGTGTAACGCCTTTCACCATTATTATTATTATCACGTTTTCGAGTCGTCTCAAAGTGCTTCACAGGATATACTGCGAAGTGTAGTGACTTTGTTTTGTGGGCGAAATGGTAATGGTATCAAGGGATATGGGGCAAAGCGAGCAATTGGAGGTGAGGTACAGATCAGCCATGATCCAATAGAATGGGCTGAATGGCCTACTTCTGTTCCTTTGAAAGGAACAATTGCTGGAGCACTCTTCACCTCCAGACTATTTTCTCAACCTTCTCTCCTTTCCCATACTTCTGGCCCATGTGCTATTTCACCAGAATGAGTCATGAGGGCAGTATCTTCTGAGTGTTTTCCAAGCTGTGTCTGGGCTGTAATCATTAGAAGATGCTTCAGAAGTAGTATCAGGATAGTTTGCCCACTCGTCTGGACTCTTTTCCTGTGTGCAAGCGCCTGGCCTCCACTCGGCAAACTCCCGTGATAAACCGGTCACGCATCTTTGCGATGGAATCGCCAGCCCAAAAGTCTGCCTGTGGCACTCCACAGTGCAGCGGGTTGGCGCACCAAAGTTGGCGCTTAACAGAACGAAGAGAGATTCCCCCATTTGCGAGTACGGCGATGTCACAGGTGGTCAAGTTTTTACTGAAAAGGAACAAGTTTCTCTCGTGGCGAGTGTTGCGTTTTTTTTTCCGCTCTAAATAGTACCTCGGCTTCCTGTGAAAGTTTGAAACGTCGGCAAGAGAGAAAAAAAAATAATTTAAGGAAAAACCCTGAAAGATAACAAGGCCGAGGAAAACAGAAGTAAAACTTGGCATGCCAACAAGTCAGGCAGTTTAGGCTTGTAATCAGCATGTACCAATGAGGGCCTGTCATTTCCTGGCTAATGAAGGCTGTGGTTTTATTTGCTTTGTTTGTGATTATTTCAGCTATCTCCACCTAACAGTTATAGAGTTCCCATAAGAGCTAAACAGTATGGGGAAGCAAAATTCCGAGTAAAATTGCAGTCCTTCGAAGCTGTGCAATGTGACCTGAGAGATGAGAGTCACTCAATCAGCCTTGCGGCCAGAGTGGGAGTGGGGGGAGCGGGGTGGGGGTGGGGTAGAAAGGAAAGATTGGGCTCCTGGTAACTTGACATCTCCCTGACATTCTTCTGCTCTCAAATGTGTTGTTTCAGGAAAGACTGTAGATTGCACGTCAGATCTGGAGGAGTATTTTGCCAAGAGGAAGCTGGAGGATGGAGACAGCCATGCGGTCAGCATCGCCGAGTACCTGCGACGCAGTGACACAGCCATCATCTACCCAGAGGCTCCAGAGGAACTGTCAAGGCATGGAACACCAGAGGCCAACGGACAAGAGGACAATGGTGAGCCTCTCCTCTCCCACACCCATTAGCCATCAGCCTGACATTTGCAGCTGCTGCATCGTGAATTCATCGCATGCCTCAGTGTTTACCTTTTAAACTTGGGGGAGTTTTGTTACAGCTGTCAGAGGCCTGCTATCAGATATAACATTTGAAACGCGTTGCCCATGGGCTGTCAAATGAGTCATTTTAAGCACTTAATTTTTTCACGGCGACGTGTTTTGGTGCCTCACATTTGCTCTGAAAAACTCTTTTACTTTATCATTTGTTTATACTGTGAGCCCTCACTGTTTAGATCGCCCACAAAGTACGGGCAGTATAGAAGTGCTTTATTACTGTTTACTTTATTACAGTTCTACTCCACTTAAGTGTCAGCCCATTTAAAGCAGTTTCAAAAGGTGCTGAAGCCTGTACGAGGGAATTTTTCTCTTTTTTAAAAAAAAGAATAGAATTGACATTTTTTTTCCTCTGGGGACAACGTTTGATATATACAATAATAATATAATATTGATATATACGTTTGATATATATATAATAATACAATATTGATATGCACGTTTGATATACCACCCGCATTCGATCTTAATGATGAATAAAGGATGGGCCTTTCTAAGCTATGTAGGTGCAAGTCCACGTTATGTGCAAAACATTTCAATGAAAGCAGGCAGGACGATTTTTTGCAGCTACTGGTATCAAAGTTGATCACATTGCAAGTAGGCCGGAGGCAGACCGGTAGCACCATTCTTAATGGAGGGAGAGGAGACAATCAGGCTCATTGGCACTGGCTCACTCGTCTATTTGGTTAGTGGGACACAACTAGTGACTGGAAATACCTTTTTCCAAAGCTCAAGGCAGAGGTCAAATGAACTAAACGTGGGACGTCCAAGTTGGGGGTAAAATCACTTCATGAATTCTATCACTGATATGCAACATAAGCAGCGTAACCCATTTTAAACAGTCATCGCTCTCCACACCCACTTGTACAGCTTTGTTTTCTGTACACACAGCGCCTACTTAACACTTAAGATTATTCATACCTATTCCTCCTCTCACTTCTCACCTTTATAATTGTGAACCAATGTTAATCATGTCTAAATTGGTTTGCGCCTTTAAGACCCTCTTATGCACTCACTGCAGTTTCAGTCTCTCCCAACATAAATGTCATACAGCACTTACGTCTAACTAAACAGTCTGGCTACCGAAAATATAAAACGCCCATTTAAAATAAATGTCTTTTAGTACTGTGGTGTACCCACCTTCTTTTATTGATATAAGTTAATACCTCTTTTTTCTCAGAATATCATATATAAGTGAGGAGGGATGTCAACCTGCATTATTGGAAATAATCCGTCTCATAAATGAATGTATAAATGAATTTGAGTGTGTTTGCTGTACACGGAACGTAACTAGGTACTCTAGCGAGTCTATAAATTTGTGCATTGGAAAATTGCAGCCCTATCAGAACAGGGAGGAAGGTTGTGGGGGGATTGGGGGGAATGGTGCACTCATGGAGCTAAATTTAATTGAATCACTTGTTAGATGTGATAGAGAGGTTTGCGGAGATACATTTGGCTCACTGCAAGCTTGAATCACTGGAAGTTCGCAATGTGACTCACTAAATAGCAATTGAGACTTTGCTAACGACAAATTCCTGCCAGTAGCCGGTAGAACGTCACAGCCCAGTTACAACAACAACAATAACTTGCATTTATACAGCGCCCCGCATACAGGGTAGCTGTCCCAGAGAGCTTGACAGTGGCGGAGCATGACACCGAGCCGGTGTGGAGGGTGGAGATGCCCGTAGGCACGGTCGAAGTGGAAGGTCTTCAGGTTCAATCTGCAAATGGTGAAGTAGGGGGCAAGGCAAAGGATAGAGGAAAATTGTTCCACAGTTTCTGGGTGTAGTGGCTGAAAGGGCAGCCACCAATGGTGCAATGGAGGGCACGAGCGACATGCAGGAGGCCGGAGTCAGTCGAGCGGAGGCGGTGGGTAGTGGGTTGGGGAGTTAGCAGGTCGGAAAGGTAGGGAGATGCCACGGCATGAAGGGATTTGAAGACAAGTGTGAGGATCTTGAAATCAATCCGTTCGGTGATAGGAAGCCAGTGGAGCCTGGCTAGAACTAGTGTGACGGGGCTACGGAGTTTAGCTACAGGGTTCCCGTGATCTATTTCTGAGGCCCTGAAAGAGGGACAATCTATACCATTCCTGACTTGTCGACCTGAGTCGCTGTTGCTGAATCCTGTTGCTTTTTTCCAATCCACTGACGAGTGTGTGCCAACCAGAGAAGCCATGTTGCAAAACACAAATAACTTTTCAAGAGACTTTACTTATTTATTGAAACCCACCTCTTCGGCCTGGCCTACTGTCATCTCCTCATTTCCGTCTCTCATAGATACATAGGAACAGAAGACTATTCAGCCACTTGAGCCAGTTCCGCCATTTTATAAGATGCTGGCTGATCTGTACCTGAAGTCCAGTTACCTGCCCTTACCCTGTATCCCTTGATAACCCTGACCTAACAAATATCTATCCACCCCAGTCTTGAAAATTGGAATGGATCCAGCATCCACAGCCTTTTGGGGGAGAGAGTTCCAAATTTCCACTATCCTTTAGGTGAAAAACTGCCTCCTGATTTTATTCCTCAATGGTATAGTTCTAATTCAGGGTGAAACATTGGGCAAGTTTCCTTACTCCACATACCTCTGTTTACCTAGCAGTAAGCAGGAACCCGGTTGTTAGTCGATTGGCGGATCGCTTTTCCGGGGGTAATAATTCCTTCCAAAAAAATCCCAATAATAAATCAGTCGCTTCAATCCATGACTGTTTGCGGGACGCTGCTGTGCGCAATTAACTGCCACGTTTCGCCCACAAAAATGAACAGTCAATTCACTTTACAGTATATTCTGTGAAGCGCTTTCAGACATCTCAAAGACGAGATAATAAGGCACCATATCAAATGCAAGGATTGTTATATCATTATTATGATTATTATTAAGGACTGCTGCCCTCGCCATTTTCAAATCGGGCATATAGGTTTTCTTAATCACACGAAGGCCATGGAAATAAAACACGGATACATAAAGCATTTCCAGAAGCAACAGGAAACTGGTATGATAAATAGTGAAATAGTAGCTGTTGGAAGTTTTCTTTTAAGATTGCTACTACATTACATTGGGAACAGAACAGGAGAGTGATTTGACCCCACCCCCAGTGGGTAAACATAATGATCAGCAATTTTGCAAGTCTGATCATCATTAGATTAAAAGAACATCCTGCAGAAATACAGCAGTACTGTATTACGTTACATTCCAAGGCCAAAATACAAATTTCCTGGGAGTTGCCTGTTTTTCACTCCTTTCCTCTCCCTCCCCAGCAAAAAAATTGCACCCCTCCCCCAACACAAAAAATGTTCTTTGTTGTCGCACGCTGGTTTAGTCAATACTGTTTGATGGGTCAATACTCTTAGACTGTTTTTTTCAAATAAGCAGGCAAAACGAGTTTGCTGAGGAAGTCAAAGTGGAGATCAAAGCCCTCTCAAAATCTCGGGAGGACACGTTACTGGGGTGAGGTCCCTTGTGCTAGTTTATGTTGCTTATGCCCTCTGTCTCACTCACACCTCGGGTTCAGGGTGATGTGAAGTCTTTACAATACTGCATGCTTCTTAGTGAAGTCTGTCCTGGAGCGAGTTCATGGATTGGAAGGGATTAAGTTGCCAGCCCAATACAGCTAAAATCGACCCACGGATCTGTATTACACATTTACAGCAGTCTGATCTGACTTTCCTGCTTCATAGCTCCCTACATCCTATAGATAGTTCATGCGCAGAGCAGCTGCCTGACTGTGGCTGTGCATTTTTGAAGACATTGTTGGCCTCGGGGGTTTAAATGGGGGACTTTTACAAGCAGGAGGAAGAACCCACTGTGACCCCAGAGGCAATGGGGCTCGTTTATGAAAGAGCTTGATGCTGTAATCGGAAGGCAGAATTGTTGGCGTTCTGGAAGGATGAGATCAAGTGGGCCGAAGGGCCTTTTTCGATCTTGTGAGAACATGGCTGTCACTAACCCCACCCAACGCCCCCCCCTACCCAGCCTGGCAGATTAACACTTGAACTGCTCTCACATTATACATTCTCCCACAAAATATGCAGTCAATTCACTTTACAGTATATTCTTGTGAAGCGCTTTGCGACGTCTCGAAGACGTAATACGGCGCTGTATCAAATGCAAGGATTCCATTGTCACTGCCTTCCTTCTGCCCAGTTAAAGTTGATCGGAGGAAACGGGAAAGTAAATTACCAACAAACAGTGAACCTGGGAGGGTGAGAGCACTATTTGAGGGGATCGAGCAATAGACACTAGAAAAGCACGAGAGACACACATCGAGGGCAAGACAGAGGGATTGGGGGAGAGAGTTCCAAAAATTCAGGGCCTAGTGCGGCCGCTGATGGTGTAGCGGAGGGGCCGAGGGACAAGCAGGAGGCCAGAGCCAGCCGAGCGGAGGCAACAGGTAGTGGAGTGGGAGAAAGTAGGTCAGAAAGGTAGGGAAGTGCAAAGGCGTGAAGGGATTTGTAGATGAGTGAGGATGGCGAAATCGATTACAACAGCTCCGTGTTGCGACAGAACCCAAGTTGGCGTTTATTTATTGAGGGAGCTCAAAATTCCAGATGTTCATAGTTGCAAATAGGAACAGGATCACCTTTCTTTCCCACCGCTTAGATCTGCTCCCATTAGCGACTATAAATAAGTCTTCACAGTTCATGTGAAGAGGGCAATTACTCTGAAATTTAACCAGAGCAAATAACTCCCAACCATTTATTCTTGACCACGGCAAGTTTGTATTCAGGACATGACTTGAGATAGTACGCCAGGGGTTCATGTTCAAGAAGGGATCAGTCTATATTGAGAAATGAATGACCGTACTTGAGGCTTGATGAGGAGCAAACAGACGGACATTAGATTGCTGTATCTGAACATCTATTAACACTCGGGCAAATCCTAAGGCAGTCTTCAAATATACAGTACGTAGTTTGTTTGTGTGTACGTGTGTGTTTTAATGGCCCAACATTGACTTTCATTACATGAGCTTGGTATTGATTACATCTTTTAATATTCATTATTTTTCTTCTTAATGTATCTGTTTTATTGATGGAACACACAGAGACACACATGGCAGGTTCTGCCCTATCAATTCCTGCGTATTGCCAGCGTATTTGAACGACCTGGGTTTCAGTCAGTCTATCTCGACTGACTTCATATGATAAAATCACTCCTGTCACGCCCACTCCCCTGGGTTGGTGTTTTTTCCCTGCACAAGATATTTCTGGCTCTATCCACTTTCTTATTATTTTCTTGTCACCCCAGTCAGAGCCAAGTGCTTGTAGCTCCCTCTAAAGTGTTCAGCGCAATCCAAATCTCTACAGATTTCCAGTCCTGTTGAGTCTAAGCAGTGACTGATATTTTTAATAGTGGTTTTATTGCAAAATGGCTCCTCTTGAATATTTCCCTGGGAGAAAGTGCATTAGAATCGGATTGAAACCATCTTATTGCCACTCGTATTTACAGACTGCAAAGCAACTATTCACTCATCGCTCTCTCTCTCTCTCTCTCTCTCTTTCTTTGACACGGTCAGAAAATGCAAGGAGTGGAGATCGGGTTTTGATGGTTTACTCTACATGAAATTGATCTTTAAATTGTTACAAGGCTAGAGATAAAGAATCTTTGCATGAAATCGAATGCAAACTGTGAAACATTGTGGAGTGGTAAACTGTGCTCTGATCACTAACATGTCTCTCACCGGATGGAACACTGCAAATTTTTTACACCGTTAAAGTGACGCAGGTTAAATTTGCGGTTTACCTTAATCCGTTCCTTAAAATAGCGCCAGTGTTAAATTAACCAAGGGTGATAGTTTAAGAAATACATTAAAGAATACTGCAAACTTAGCCCTGAACCTGACTCTTACGGTATTAGAAGGCTGTTGACTTGTTTTTTATATAGATCAAATTCTAAGTTGACGTTCCTGAAACAGTATGAAATACAGTTATGTATATGCTTAGTCTGTGTGTGTTTGTGTGTGTGTGTGTGTGTGTGTGGAAGTGGGGGGTGGGGGGAGTGATCCTAGTGTGCAGAGGCCACTGTAATGATGGCACTTGAAGCAGCAGATTGCAGCGATTCCTGTCATACCATCCGGGCAGTCATCCCATTAAGTGCCATTGATTGCTGACCTCTTGGCCTGTGCTCTCTCTCTCCCCTCCCTGGCTGTAGACCTGCCACCTGGAACTCCAGATGCTTTCGCCCAACTGCTGACCTGCCCGTACTGCGACCGGGGCTACAAGCGCTTGACATCGCTGAAGGAGCACATTAAATACCGGCATGAGAAGAACGAAGACAACTTTGCCTGCCCTCTGTGCAACTACACATTTGCCTACCGCACCCAGCTTGAACGACATATGGCCACGCACAAGCCAGGAAGAGATCAGGTGGGACTCAGGGATGGGTATGGGTAACCCTTAGAGGATAAATATCATTTTAATTGCCAATGGCTATTAATTTTTTATGGCATTTTGAAGATGCAAATCTTTAATGGTAATAGCACTAATTTAGGTTTAAATGGTTTTTTGATGGTCTCTTCCAGGATGATTTAATGTCGTGTACTCACGATTGAATGAGCATTTTAATATCCAATTTAGAAACATTATCAGCAGCGGAACTCTTAAGTTTAGCTGAAGTTTGGGGTTTTCCCATCATTTTCAAAACCTTGTTAAAGTGGTGTTTCATTTCCGCAATACCATCGTGAACTTGCCTTTTAATTGAATGAGCTGATTTTAGCAACATTACCGGCTCAAAGTGGAAAAAAGAAGCATCACCTCTGCTCACCAGTTACTGCTGATCACCGGCTTTCACCTGCTATCCTTAGTTATCATTGTAATAATTAACTCTACCCGCCTATACTTTCCCAGTTGTTTGGTACAGTTCCACTGAACAAATATCTGAGCTATCCCAATTCAAAGATGTGTCTTAATTGCGCAAAGATTTCGATTTCAAAATCGTATCTCCTCCCCAACCCCCCCCACCCGCACCACCCCTCCAAATAAAAGTAATCTTTCACCAGATATTTATTTGAAAAGGAAGCTCGCAGCTTTGTGTATTTGTGAATGTAATGCTCTGCTCTCGCTAATATGCTCTACGGATTTAATTCCATATAATGGCTGGTGGGAAGAGGTAGGTCATACAAAACTGATCGCAGGTCTTTGGCACAATATATCCCTCTCAGTGGAACACTGACTTGGATTAAACGCTGCTAAAACATTTGTGTTATGTGTTGCAACTTCCTCTCATTTCCTCTGGGAAATGTGAAATCCTATGTATTGCAAATGGTAAGAGAAAAACATTACATCTTCCATTGTTTTCATTTTAAGGGAATGATTTAATTTAAATATTTACCTTTGCACATGACAGCTCCATTATTTTGAAAAGTTAGATAACTACCCTCTGGCGCTATATATATATTTCTTTAAAATTCCATTGCAAACTTTAAAGCATCAATACATCGTGGATTGTTTTGCTTTCCTTTGACACTTTGAACAGGCATTTTAAACGCGTTTTAAATAAAACACTTGGTGTTTTTTTTTAGCTGTTTTTTTTCTCAAATAAAGTCATCCTTCAGCCCCTCAGTTGTCAGGACTCCTCCAAAAAAAAATCCCTATTTTTAAAATGTTTTCAGAAGTTATGGTAGAGGATTTTTGGTTATGATGTGAACTTGGTTTATCTCATTAACATCTCCCACTATGATTTGCACTGACCAGACTTTTCCATAAAGGGCTCAGGTATACTCATCCTCAAACATAAACATAAATCTTCACATTCAGAATATTAGTATTCTTGTGTCTACTGATGACAAGTGAAATTGATATGGAGCACTGCAAATTTGACACCATTCTGTCAAAATCCCACTTAAGATATTTTACGTTGAGTATTGATGAAATTGAACACTGACCAAATGGCTGGACCACTATTTTATTTAAAGCTTTGGGAACGCTAAAAAATAATATATATTTTTAAAGCATATAGAAATGTATATATTATACATTATCTGTTCTTGTCACAGAGTAGCATTGTTTGAAATGTGCTTGGCTCCTTTCATCTGCACCAAACGTGTTTCCGTGTTGTGCGTTTTTTTTCCCGAAAGAATTTTCTTTTCCATATGTATTCTCCTCGTGCGTCAGCATTTTAAAAAAAAGGTCTTTCTAATTTGATCATGACACTCTCACTTAGTAATTACAAATGATTGTATCATATTAACAGAAGTGCAACTAAAGTTTGCATCAGCCCTCTAAGGATCGAGGAGAGACAAAGCAGCTGTTGATGTTTGTTTATGCAGCTCAGCAACATACGAGCACCAGTCTCTCATTGGCGCTCACTCTGCTGGCCAGGGTTTGCTTGATCTTTGAAGGTTGCTGCTGTTTGAACAAACCTCCCTGTGTCCTGTCCAACACCATCTGTCTCACCAGGAATGTGGGAAGAGTCAGTACACCCTAGCAGTTGTCACACTATTCAGCGCTGTTCCCTCGCAAAGCTTTTGTATCTCGCTACTCTTACGGAGCTGACCTCCTTACCTTGAGCATCCGCGCAGACATCGATTTCGTTTCTCGCCGGTTAATATTCATCTTTTATTTTCTGCCAGATGTTTTAAGAAAGGTCAGCCCTGTTGAGGTTTCAACTTTTGTTTCACACGGTACAGCAAAGAATTGAATATTAATCGCTTTTAACTGTTAACTCGCCGCTGTCGAGTGAGGCCGTTTCTACATTTCCCAAACGTAGCGAATGTAGAATTTGCACTTTTGATCTCCGCGCTCTTCCTGTGACATTTGACTTCAGTGTGTCAGATGGTAAGGCTCTTTTGTGGGGGGGGGTAATAACTTCTGTGGCATGTTTTTCCCTTCGTTGTTTCTGCCTTGAGGCCTGAAGTGGCCTGAACTTCTTCCAAAACCCATTCATGCCAAAGGCAAACCGATTCAGAAGCTTGTTGGTTTCAAAGAGCGTTCTGTACATAAAGGGGGGGAAAGCCAGGAAGGGGAGAGAAAGAAGAGTGAGTGGTGGGTGGGGGGGGGAGAGGAGAAACCATTTGGCTTGTCTGTGCTGTTAGCTGTGACTGTTGACAAATCTCTCTCAGCTGTGTGTAAAGCTCATTTGGGTATCTTTTCTCTTTAGCACCACATGCTGACCCATGGTGCCGGTAATCGCAAGTTCAAATGCACAGAGTGTGGCAAAGCCTTTAAGTACAAGCACCATCTGAAGGAACACCTGCGAATTCACAGTGGTAAGGAAAGGTCCCCTTTGGCACGATGGCTCCAAAAACGTTTTGACCCCCAGGAATAGTGCGAATTAACAAAATCAAGAAAATAAAATAACATTGAGTCACCGTGCATTATTTTTTGCATAATTGATGTATATCCGGCTCACTGGCTGCTCACAGACATTACAACATTTTTAATACCGTTATGATAATCATCAGCGCCTTCATCTTAGGAGGGGACGTCCCAAAACATTAACAGGATACACTGTAAAATAAAGTGCAGTGACTGCTTTACGAGACTCCTAGTTCAGGGTGATACTCCAGTGCAGTGGTAGGGGAGTGTTGCATTGTCGCAGGTGCCATCCTACGGGTAAAACGTTACACCGAGGTCCTGCCTCGGTTGCTATGTAAGTGCATGTTGTTGTTGTTGTTGTCTGCCTCTTCAGGTGGACATTAAAGATTCCGTGTTTGAGAAAAGAAAGGAGTGTATCTGACCTCCTGCCCAACAATCCCCCAGATAAAATTGCTCACTCACTGGCTGTTTGTGGAGCAATGCTGTGCACAAATTGGCTGCCATGTTCACCTACAAATCCTTAGTTACTACACTTTGCAGTAAATCCCATGTAAAGCTTTGAGACATTCTCCTGTGGTGAAAGGCGTTACATCAGATGCAAGGATTTTTTTTTCTTATTTTTGTAGAAAAGTAATATATTAAGTTGATACTCTGCTTATACAATACAACTTACATTTATATATAGTGCCTTTCACATTAGGAGGATATTTCACCCACAAAATAATAATATAATAAATATAATAATCCTTGCATTTGATATAGCGCTTTTCAAGTCTTCTCGACATCTCAAAGCGCTTCACAGAATAGACTGTAAAGTGAATTGACCGTATATTTGTGGGCGAAACGCGGCACCCAATTGCGCACAGCGGTGTCCCACAAACAGTCGTGGATTGAAAATGACCAATTTATTATTTTTTTCTATTTTGGAGGGATTATTATTAGGCGTGTGGTGTAAGGAAAGTTGCCCAAGGTTTCGCCCTGCCTGGAATTGAACCCAGGTGTCTCGCTTGCAAAGCGAGTGCTCTAACCACTGAGCTACAGGACTCCAAATATACAGTCAATTCATTTTACGGTGACGTGCTTTGAGATGTCTCAAAGACATGATAAGGCACTATAGCGAATGCAAGGATTATTATTAATATCTCAAAGTGCATGTTGTATGCTGCTCACATTTTGCTGAAATTATACAATATTTGAGGTGATCATCAAGCACACAAATATTGACGTGGGCCACCCTTTGTTTTTGGTTGTTTCCAGGTGAAAAGCCATACGAATGTCCAAACTGCAAGAAACGCTTCTCTCATTCCGGCTCCTACAGCTCCCACATCAGTAGCAAGAAGTGCATTGGCCTGATCTCGGTCAATGGACGAATGCGTACCAGCCTGAAGCCGGGTTCCTCTCCTACATCGGCCTCTTCCTCTCCCACCAACTCCGCCATCACCCAGCTGAGGCACAAGCTGGAGAACGGCAAGCCCCTGAGCGCCCCCGAGCAAGCAGGTCTACTCAAAATCAAGACTGAGCCGCTAGATTTCAATGACTACAAGGCCTTAATGGCTTCTCATGGGTTTGTGGGTGCTGGCTCTTTCTCGAATGGCGGAGTAGGAGCTAACAACCAATTGTCAGTCAACGCTTCTGTTCTAAGTTCGATGCAGCACTTAGGAGTAGGGATAGAAGCACCACTACTAAGCTTTGCTAATTCAGTAGGTAGTAACTTAAGCGAAGTCCAAAAGGTCCTGAAAATTGTCGACAACACAGTTTGCAGGCAGAAAATGGACTGCAAACCCGAAGAGATTTCAAGACTCAAAGGTTATCACGTGAAAGAGTCAGCCTCGCAAGCTTCCTTGGCTGAGGAACCAGGAGTCACCTCCCCTGTTATGCCATCTGTTGGTCTTCCAGTTGTCAGCCATAATGGTGCCACTAAAAGTATTATTGACTACACACTAGAGAAGGTGAATGAAGCCAAAGCCTGTCTCCAGAGTTTGAGCACAGAATCACAAAGGCAAGTGAGCAATTTGAAAAAAGACAGGTTACGTAGCATGGGCTGCCCTGTGTTAGATCTCGATACTGAGGAAAAGACATTCGACAACAGTAACACATCTCCCTACTCCTGCCAATTCTGCAGGGAGTGTTTTCCTGGTCCAATTCCTCTCCATCAGCATGAGCGCTACATGTGCAAGATGAATGAAGAAATCAAGGCTGTGCTTCAACCTCACGAAAGCGTGATCGCCAACAAGCCTTCGATGCTGGTTGAAAAGCAAGCCCTCATGCTGTCTTCCCTCCTTTCGGAGAAAGGTGTGACCAGCCCTGTACATGCTTACAAGGACCACATGTCTGTACTAAAAGCTTATTATGCCATGAACATGGAGCCAAATTCTGAAGAACTACTGAAAATTTCCATTGCTGTCGGCCTCCCTCAGGATTTTGTAAAAGAATGGTTTGAGCAAAGGAAGGTCTATCAGTACTCCAATTCCAGGTCCCCACCACTGGAACGGACCAGTGCTGAGATGGTGTTGGCAGCCATCAACTCTTCCATAAGTAAAGACTCTTTGTCAGCCAAGTCCCCAATGTCAGTATTGAAGCCTCATGTGGACATAACATCGCCGTTGATAGCAGAGCTACATAACAGTGTTACTAATTGTGATGCACCTCTCAGGCTTATTAAATCTCAGTTTATCAGTATTAAACCGATTGGTGATAAAATGGACCACTCAAGGAGCAACACTCCTTCTCCTTTGAATCTTTCCTCCACTTCCTCTAAGAACTCCCACAGTAGCTCGTACACTCCAAACAGCTTCTCTTCAGAAGAGCCTCAGGCTCAACCTCTGGACTTATCTTTGCCAAAACAAAAGAACGAACACAAAAGCGTTGTTGCAGGAAGACTAAGAAATAAAACCAATAGTATTATCATTGACCATAACAGTATATGCTACGCATCGGAAAACCCAGACGAGCCTTTGAACTTGACTTTCCTGAAGAAGGAATTGCCTAATTCGAACAACAACGCCCTAGAGAAAAGCACTAAGCCAGTATTCAATATAAATCCATTTAGTGCCAAACATTTGTACACAACTCTTCCACCACAGAACGCATTTCCCCCAGCCACTTTTATGCCCTCGGTGCAGTCTAGTATTCCAAGTCTTCGACCCTACCCAGGGCTAGATCAAATGAGCTTCCTTCCACACATGGCCTACACATATGCAACAGGTGCAGCTACTTTTGCAGAAATGCAGCAGAGGAGAAAATACCAGCGGAAGCAAACGTTCCAGGTAACAGCAACTGACCCCATGTGTCATGTTCTTGATATGTTCTAACCAGAGACTTAGCAAAAGGAGCTTCTAGGTGGATGCTGTGAATATGATGGATTGATGCACCCTACTGATGTCCTGCGATGCGACAACAAAACCCTTGCTGGTTACATTGCCATTTTCTTTTTTCTTCGATCTTGTAAAAATCCAGTCTTTTTGTGAATAATAGTATTTTAATCAACAGAAGAATGCTTCAATACCCCAAACCCAAATGGCGTCTTTTCATCCCTACAAATGACGTTGAATAGCCAAACCTGACAGAGTAAAGGTATTTAAAAACAACAATAGGCATTAAAAACAAAGTTCTTTATAGAGAGGAAAAAATCCGCCACTTTCAAAGAAAATCCAATCAAAACATCCCTTTATGTTCACTCTAACTTAACTGAAAACCCAAACCAAATTCTGACTGACTGATGGAATGAATGCTGACTTTACCAAGTAAGCATTGTTTACGTTCAAGGGAGAACATTTTCTGTCTAACACATGGTTACGTTTCGTAACCACAGAATATTTTGGTAATAACAACAAATTACATTTTTATAGCACCTTTCACGTCGGGAGGACGTTCCAAGGCGCTGGACAGTCAGGGATTTGGACCCGAGCTGGGGGTTGGGATCAGGAGGGCTGGAGGGCAGGGAGGATGGGTGGAGGGTGACCGAAGGCTTAACTTTATTACAAATAACACAAAAAGGGTTCTGTTGAATGAAACGTATGGCTATTTTTTTCCTTTTGTTTACTGTGCATCGAAACAGGAAAGATTATAAAGGTTAAAATGTTTCATTTCATTTCAGCAATCTACTGAGTAATAAATCAACAATCTGAGAACATTTGCCAATTGATTTTGTTTTTGCAATGTTCCGTACGAACAGTAGCGGAATGAGAGTTTTAGTGTTTTTGTTGTGAGTACCCGGTATTGAATGATAATGTATAAAAGTTATACTGCTGTGTTTATAGGTGTGTATGTCTATTAAATACAGAGAGACTCCAGCTATCCAACAAATGCAAGGTTTCTTGTCTGGTCTGCCGAGCCAGAATTTCTGGTTAAGTGTAATTACAATAATAATACTCCTTGCATTTGATCACATCTTCAAGACATCTCAAAGCGCTTTCCAGAACATACTGTAAAGTGTAGTGACAGTGTGTTTTGTGAGTGAAACGCGACAGCCAATTGTACACAGCAGTGTCCCACAAACAGGCGTGAATCGAGTGACCAAATTATTAGTATTTTTGGGGGGAGCAATTATTACCTCCCCCCGGAAAAATGATCCACCAATCGCCTAACGACTGGGTTCCTACTGACTGCTAGATAAATAGAGGCAGATGGAGTAAGGAAACTTGCCTAAGGTTTCGCTTGGTAATGCAAGTTATACAGTGCTGGAAAATGCATTTTCCGTCACTGTATATGCATTTCTGCAGCTGTGTGTAAAAAAACATAGTCATTCACCCAAGCGGACAGCGGACACCGTAGAAAGGGTGGTGAGGCAGGAAGCTGTGGGGTGATGTGGGCTGCTCAGCACAGCAATGACACATGTTAGGATAGTCGGGCTGACAGGAGTTTACACGTGGGCGGAAATTTTTAAAGATTTTTGGGGGTTTGGGGGCCGTCTGGCTAGGGCTGAATTCCGGGTACCCAGAAGTCTGGTAAACCAGGGGATTACTGTATAAAACAATAACTAATCCATACTTGTTCAGGTGCTCTTCCATTGTGACAATACAGTTGGCTTAGTTCATTAATATAATGAGTGTAACCAGTTAATTTTAACTTATTCAGGTATTAATTAATTGATGGATCTCTGCAGGTGATGTGTCATAGCACAAAAAAAAACCTGGGAAGGTGTGTGTGCAATTTTTGCACTTTACGATTCGGTTTTAACACTTCCGTTCAACTCATGCCAACTTGAATCTTGTCGTGCTATAACGCACCTCATCATGTTCGTTACAGTTAAACCAGATTCTGATTTGAGGTCCGTACATTTTGATGATAATTACGATCCCTTTTCTTGCTAGGCTTGCTTGCAGTCAGAACAAATCACAACCATTTGGGATAAAGATATTTAATATAGCCACGGCAAGTGTGTAATCAGCACTGATAATTTAGAGGAATGCTACCGGGTGATTACTGACAAGCGGATTGCATGGCAAATGCCATCAGTAACCAATATGTGTTTTTCCTGCAGTTTCCAGTTAGAAAAGGGTTATGCATTGAGGCAACTTCTTCAACAAAGGCACATGTACACACACTGAAAGCTCTGTGCGTTTAGTACATGTATAAATCTCTTTCATTTGACTCTCAGGCTTAATGCTTTTCTTTTCCAAATTTTGATCTCTGTAAATGATATGCTTTTTTTTATAGCTTTGCATTTACGTATTGTGAAATCACAAGAGACAGCTAAAGGTATTTATTTGCGCTGGAGGTTGGTAGGTTTTCTAATAAAAATGTATGTTATCTTAGGGGGAATTGCTTGATGGAACCACAGATTACATGTCAGGTTTGGATGACATGACAGATTCAGACTCCTGTCTGTCCCGAAAGAAGATCAAGAAGACTGAAAGTGGCATGTATGCTTGTGACTTGTGTGACAAAACATTCCAGAAAAGCAGTTCCCTTCTGCGACACAAATATGAGCACACAGGTATGTTCATTTCATTTTCCTCCTAGTTTTCCTATTTCTGCGTCCGTCCCTCCTGATTCTCATTCCTTCATTTCGTTTGTTCCAAAATAAAGTGTCGGACTGTTGCTTTTCCTCTCCTGTGGCGGTCCTGCTTATCTTATCCCTCTCCCGCTCACACAAAGAGGTAGTTTAAAACGTGCAGTGTTAAAAGGGGGCATCGCTGAGCAATCGTTTTATTATGAGGGGTGGTGGGTGGGGCGGGGGCGTTGGGGAATGGAAGAGAGAGAGGTTTGACATTACATCCCTGGGTGGGGTAATTCACGATATGACACATGCACTGTAATTGACATGATGACTTTGCGCTTTCCTATTTTGTCCTCCGCTCCCCACCCCCACCCTTCATCCAGCCATTCCTTTCAACGCATTCTGCATTTCCTTCACATTCCCTGTCTCTTTCCTGAGTTTTATTTTAAACGCGCGCTTACACACTTTCACCCTGTTGCATCATTCTTGGCTTCTCCCTCACCACTCCCACCCTCCCCTCTGACTCTCGCTCTCTCTCTCTCTCTCGATCTGCCCTCCATTTTGTCCTGGGGTGTTAGACTGACAGGGATTTAGCTGTCGTGTCTATTTTTGAATTCATGCTATAAAGTATTGCAGCTATGGAAGGTGTTGAAGGCATTCCAGTGCTATTTGTGGTGTGGAATTAGCCAGATGTTTGCTTGGCCAAACGTTCCAAGTTCCAAACTCTGGTCACACGTTAGCTGAAATGCCAAAGGAGATGCTCTCAATTACAGAGGCTAAAATAAAGTGTTTCTCAAGACTTGGTGTTCTGGAAGTCGTTTCGAAGTATCCCCGTTATTTTTCTATCATTCCAGCTGCAATGTGGAACCAAACAAAAATTTTTTTTACCACTATTGACTAATGCGTCCATTTCTCTCCCCCCGTTAACCCCCACGAACTAATTCGAGAGGCTTTGTGGCCAGTTGTCTTGTCGCTAAGTCACTTGTTTTTAATTAAATCTTAAATAATTTATGATTTTTTTCGAGAAAAAACTGGAGCCAGACGCTCGCTCAAAACATTTATTAGCTTAGGGGTCCGGACATGATCCGTAGTACTTCTGACAGTTTTGATTGATAGTAATTCGGAACACTTGACGACTCCTGACACATTGACAAGCGCTCGCAGATGCACCAAAAGTGTCGGGATTTATTCGAAGGCTGTTCAATCTTATTAGAGCATTTTAGCGCCATCCACTAATCCTGTGTTTCTTTTCTCTTGCTCTCTCTCTCTATCTCTCTCTTCTCTCCCCCTCTCTCTCTCTCTGGATTGTAGGAAAACGCCCACACCAGTGTCAGATTTGCAAGAAAGCTTTCAAACACAAGCACCACCTTATCGAACACTCGCGTCTGCACTCCGGCGAGAAACCGTACCAGTGCGACAAATGCGGGAAGCGTTTCTCTCACTCGGGCTCCTACTCGCAGCACATGAATCACAGGTATTCCTACTGCAAACGGGAGGCGGAGGAGAGGGAGGCCGCCGAGAGGGAGGCCCGTCAGAAGGGCCACTTAGAACCCGCGGAGCTACTGATGAACCGGGCGTACTTGCAGAGCATCACCCCGCAAGGCTACTCCGACTCGGAGGAGCGGGAGAGCGTGCCGAGAGAGTTGGAGAGCGAGCGCGAGCAAGAAAAGGAAGGCGAAGAGGACGAGGAGAAACTGGCGAGGCAGGGAGGAGGCGAAGAGGAATTCGAGGAGGAGGAAGAGGAAAGTGAAAATAAAAGCATGGATACGGATCAGGACACCATAAGAGACGAAGAGGAGAACGGCGAACACTCAATGGACGATAGCTCGGTCGACGGGAAAACGGAAACCAAATCAGAACACGAAGACAATGTGGAAGACGGCATCTAATAACTACTGCATTCTAGCTTCCTTACTTCTTCCAGTAGTATTGTTACTTGCTTGAAACACTGCTGTGTTAAGCTGTACATGCACGTGCCTGATGCTTCCTGGAAGCCTGAGTGTTGGACAGATGGGGCAGTCTGTCGGATGCAAAAAAAAAACCCGAAAAAAAATTCAGATAAAAAAGAGAGAGAGAGACAGTGTTAGGAGGAATTAGTCAAGTTTGGGGTTGTGAAGAGTTGCATTATGCAAAAAAAATGTTCAGTGTTAAGGCCTAAAAAATGTGTGGTTCCAAGCAGCCTGAATTACCCTTCTGTTAATAGTTTTTTAGCACAAAATAGCGGAGTATATCGCATTACATGCCACACATATTACTACACGAAAATCTAAAAAATAAATGTACCGTCTATGTTTCTACCTATGTATATTATCACACAGCAGTAACTTGAAGATGTAATGCCTGTGCTTCTTTCTACCCATACCTGTATTAATACACAACAGTATTTTAGTGGATTGTTTGTAGTTTGACCCCGTTTCAGGTCTGTCACTGCAACCACACAGTGTTTTAGGCCTCGGGAATTTTCTTTGAAGGATCATGAAATGATGCATGTGTGATAATTTAGACATTGAAGTCTTAAAGTGGCCCAGCTATGAAGGAGTAGAGGACGGGAAATAAGAAAGAGAGAGAAATAAGAGAGAGAAATAAGAGAGAGAAATAAGAGATAGAGAGAGGGAGGTGGTGGTGGTGGAGAAAGGTGGTTTTAAAAAGCCTTATATGCAAACCTTTTAATCTGTCTGTTCTGCAAGTGCCATCCTTGTATAGTGCTAAAAAGGTAACTAAAGTTACTTTGCACCAGCTTCAGTGTTAAACAGCTCACCCTGTTCTTTGAAGCACCCATGTCAGTATTAGATTATAGGCAGCAGTTCCTTAGTTTACATATGTTTGTGCAATTTTTCTGTACTTTTATTTTTTGTTCATTAACTTGTCAGTATTACACCAAACTTTTGCAACAATTTGCATTCATTTTATTTTAGGTCAAATAACATTTATTTATGTTGCTCATTTTATATTTCCTAATTTTATTTATTTCATACTGTTAGTGTACAGTATTATAGTTCTTCAATATATAGATATATTTTAGTAAAAGGAACATGAGGTTGATCATTTGGGCAAATTTTACGTAATGAGAAGAGCATTTATTGTGTTTTCAAACATTAATTGTGAGATGCGAATTTTCAATTTATTATTTTATTTTGTTTTCCAATTACTGGATTCCAAATTTGAGAACTTTTGATACGATCTTGTGAAAACACTGTATTTTCGACTGAAAATTCCACTTTCTTCATCTGTTTTTTAGCTAAAAAAAAAGAGGGACTGTTAAAAATACAATGTATGATACCATGACAGAAATCTTTCCTGAATTGTCTTTGTAAAAGTATTATTAAATTTTCAATTTGTAATTTTTTCTTTGAAATGACCATGCTCGAATAAAATGTAGCCAAACTAGGACCTGTATGTGCAGCTTAAGGTTCAATGGACATCACTGCAGTAAACTGATGTGCATAATAATGTATAGTGTTTCCTTCCTAACTGTAGGATTTGTCTTCAAAAGAGTTACAATTTCATCCACAGCATTGTTAACAAAAAAATATTTATTAACTTAAATTTATATTGTCGTCCTATTTATTTCAATCAATGTCCACTTTTATATTTCTCTCACCATCTCAAAATAAAACAAAATTCTATGGTTGGATTTATTTCATAAGCTTGCTGAAGGGAGAACGACAGTCTAGAATCGAGAGATAAAGAGCAGGGCGCATGGCGTGAGGGAGAGGTGCAACCCTGAACTTAGTCTAAAGGTGGCCAGAATCAAATCGCATCCATCCTTCTAATAAGGTGTAATGGGTGATCACAATACAGTATGTAGCATGGTTCCTACCATAAAACATAGAGACTTCTTTTAAGTAAGCCAACTACACTTTATTAACAAGACTTAATTTAAAAAGAAAATCAATGCCGAGCTTTTGATTATGGACAGAGTGGATTGAAACTCATCTTGTAATAAGGATTGCGTAAGCTAACAAAAAGGGACTGCTGTCATTTTAAATAAGGGCCGTAAGAGTTTTTTTTACCCACAAATAGGCCAGTGGTGCTTAAATCAGTGGGTTCGTGAAAACTAACTGAGATCTGGTTATTTATGCCCACTAAATTTCCAGTGTGCAATTAAGATACATTACACGTAATGAAGACAAATCGGAGATCAGATAATAACTAAAAGACCAATGATTGTGATTGACATGCAGTTTTTGAACTGCCAAATCATTGATTCTGCTGCGGCTTTGAAAGCTTCTTTGAGTTGATCTCAGGAATATACCAATTTATCGATTGCCGTCTTAAAGGGGAAAAAAAACATCAATTTTCCTACTAGAGCAGGTTGAGAGGAAGACTTTTAAAAGACATCCATTATAAAATCCAATTTAAAAAGATAATGTCAGGCTTGCCTGGGGATGTAAAATTCTTTTCATCCATTGAGCTCCATAGCTGTTAAGCAATACTCTAGCCTTATTATATGCTTAAACATATGATCACCACCTTAGATCAACACCCTCATATTATTCTTAATGTTCATATCAGCAGCATTCACAAGTGGTAGTTTTTAAATTTAAATCATTTGTGATGCTTTTCAACAAAAGGTATCTGTTCATGCTAATTCACCCCCTTTACCTTGGCTTAAATGTTCATCATTTCATTTTAGAAGCACTGAAGGCTCCTTCAAATGGACCCCACGCTAACCCAGGACAAAATGATCCCTTTTGAATAAAGTGTTTCCCTCATCCTTTCTTATGGCTTGAAACTGTTTGGAATTCATGAAGGGGCAAAGCACTGAGCCCTCCCCTAAAAAGAGTTAAACCTTCATTGTAAGATCACAAATTCAATCCAATTCCTGACACAAAACAGCACAGCCCCTGCATTAGACATGAAACCTGATGATACGTCTTGAATTCAAAGCCAGTGAAACAAAAGTTGTTTCAATTGCAACTCAGACAATACCTATTTAAAGCTGCATTGCATTTCACAAAGTGGTGTTTGGCATTTTTTTAAGACACAAGCCAAGATTACGCAGGCAAATTATCTGAGGTGAATCTTAGCTGTCGACCTGTCCACAGGGAACATTTTAAGAGGAAGTATCCTTAAACTATCATTAGCAATTTTTAACGTGTCACTTTGAACGTTCGGAGTCATCGGTTTCGCATGGATCAGCAACCGTGGCAGGTTTCTGCTTGTCTAAATCTGACACCATTCAGGGGATGGTAATGCCGATAATAATACTTGCATTTGACATAGCGCCTTACCACGTCTTTGCGACGTCTCACAGCGCTTCACAATATACTGTAAAGTGAATTGAGTATATTTTGTGGGCAAATTCCTAATGTCACCAGAAATGGTGATACATTAGCAAAATAGAATGACGTAAATGTTCCAAAATATTTTTCCCCGCAGGATATTAAAATATCATTTTCTTTTTTAGATATATATAAGTGAATTTGTATATTAAAAGCTGGTATGATATCATTCGAAATGAGAGCTAATATTTGACTGCAGAATAAAATATCAGTAGGAATGTGAGGCGTTTACACTGTTGGTACAGATGCTTTCTATAGGTCTCCAAAATAGCTTAGACACCACTGTCTGCAAAAATAAAAATAGACAGGATTATCGTAAGTCTGTTGGAGAGACGTTCCAAGCATTTCGATAATATTTTTATTAAATATCCACTGATGGGAAAGCATTTACAAAAAGGACAGTTGTAAAACACACGCATGTTTCATTCAAAGTGCTCATAAAGAATCAAAGTAAAGCTCCTAAACCTTTTTTGCCTGTGTGAGGTTTATTTTTTTTCATTTCGACTCCATAATTTGTTTTACGATCGATTGATTTTAAAATAACGCTGGCCTGGGAAGAATGAGCACACAGGAATCCTTGAGAATAATAATAATATAATCTCTAAGGAGAGTAAAACATAGCTCAATTGATTTCTTCCCCTCCCCTGCCCCCCCTGAAGCTGACTCTTAATACAACAGCCAAATTCCTCTTGTTACTGCCTATACTTACTATAACGTAAAATATTACGTTAAATAACCTTTGGGTCACTTTAAAAAGATAAGTTGAATTCCCCACCCAACTGTGGGAAATCACTGAACAGATAAAACATTAACCGCCTCGAAACAGATAAGCAGTTGCTCTTGCTTTCTCGTAACATACAGAAGGAGACGTTATTTATTTCCATCCTTCGCCATGTTTGTCAGCAGGACACGTATAGCAAGATTTGTGTAAGGTGTAAAAATAGAGGTCAGATTTGAAGAGTCGATCAGATTTTGTGTGGACGTGTCGGGGAGCATTTTTTGAGGGAAGCTTAGGATTGCTGTCATTAACACATTTAGCAGGAATGCAGTGAAGGGCAGAGTTTATAAATAGTGACCTAATAATAAAAGACAACAAAGAAAAATCTCCCTGTCCCATCATATTTAAAAGAACTTTGGACACTGAGCTAAGCATATGGTAACAGGCATAAAATCAATGTTTTGTCCAATTTTACAAAGGCCCAATGTGTGTTCAGTTCCACTGAACAACCAAACTACATTTGAGATCCAACCATGAAGCTTATATAATTTAAACAAATCACATGACTTTTTTTTCTGTCCGGCGTAAAAAAAGATCAATAACACATCCAGAAGAAAGCACCGAATAAATGCACCCTCCCACAAAGTGCACAAGTCAATTCACTTTACAATATATTCCGTGAGGCTCTTTGAGACGTCTCGAAGACGTGGTTAAGATCCCATATCAAATGCAAGGATTATTTTTATTTTTATTCTCTTCTGGTGTGAAGACAGAAAATATCGGGATCTGTATTTTCTGTTACAGGTAATTAGCCGGAGTGTTGCCGCCAGAAATATTGGAATTGTTATTAGAATTCCAACCTTGGATCTCAGCATATCGCCACGTCACAAGAGTTAAATTAATTTTACAGTGGGACTAATGATGTGCACCCAACTGGAACAGAAATGTTAGTGCAGGATTGATCGGCACTGAGTAATGTCTGAAACCGTGATCCAAATCATATCATGCCGGCTACTATCTCGGCCAGAAAGTTGCTGTTATTTTATATACACTGCATGCAGTCGCTGAATGCATCCAACTGTAATCAATAAAGCACAATTAATATGCACAACATTGACTAAATACTGTTAAACCACATAAGACAAGTTATAAACAGGGTCAGTTCAGTTTAATCAAATGTATAATTTCCTCTGAGAGTGACTTCCTTGATGAGAAAAGTGCTGTGTTTCAGACTCAACTGCTTTGACACTAATTTATTGATATTATAATTTGTAGGACATAAATATTTTAGCATTAATTGCACCACACGGTAAAAGCAATTTAAGAAACGTCATTAGAGCTTTGTTTCTCTCTTAAAAAAGCAGAGGAATCGGGCAAGCATTTAGGGAAGATCACTTGAATTTTCTAAGGAAAATAAAAGACTGCATTCGAAAACTTGGGAGTCTCAAGCGATAAATGGGGTCATTTCAGACTCATCAAAGAAAATTTGCTCACAGTGTTTGTTACAAGTACTGTACCGCATTCTCTCAAATCCACGAGGTGGGATTATTTTCATCAAATAGTTTCACCATAAACCAGTGGGGATTAAAATTGCAGTGAAGATCTTTTTCTCTTCCCCAGACTCAAAAAATCTCCCTGCACCGCAGTAAATACTGTGTTACTTCCTTTTAAAAGTCTGCTCAGTAAAAATAATAATAACCCTGGTCTTTGATATAGTGCCTTATCACGTCGTTGAGACGTCTCAAAGCGCTTCACAGAATATTGTAAAGTAGATTGACTGTATATTTTGCAGGCGAAACATGACAACCAATTGTGCAAAGCAGTGCCCCACAAACCGTAGTGGGTTGAGTGATCAATTTTTTTTCTTTGGAGGGATTATTACCCCTGAAAGCGATCCGCCAATCGATTAACAATCGGTAAATAGAGTCTAAAAAGTCTTTCAAGTCTTACATTCAAATGGACTTCGACAGCAAAATCATAATTCACATGGCCGATGGGTCACATAAATACCCTTGTCACTGACCTGTGCCGATGAGGATACTTTCCCGTTCAACACACCTTTATTGCGATGACACATTGTCTCAACGGTGTCTCTATGCTACCTAACGAGGTGAGCCATTTGCACACATCAAATTTAAACTGGAAATGGTATAACCAGAACTGAACATGGTTTACTATATTATAAATAGTGTTCCGTGCTGACACTATCTTCTGCTCATGTTCACCTGCAGTAATAATAAGAATAGTGATCCTTGCATTTGATGTAGCGCCTTATCACGCTGTTGAGACGTGTCAAAGGGCTTCACAGAATATACTGTAAAGTGAATTGACTGTATACATTCAAGCACAATTTATTGCTTGATTGTCAGCTCCCATATCACTAACAACTCTCTAATATAGTTTTGAAACCACCTCGATGGATTACGCAAGGGTAAAGCAAAGTTCCTGACTTAATGCTTCGAACCAATAGCTGGAAGTCAGTTGAAGGCAGTAATTCGATCTCGGGGTTCTGTTGACTTTGATAAATTGCTTGACCTTGGCTG